GTTTTCTTATCTGTATGGCCTCTGTTGCTTTGGAGACATCTTAACTGGATGGCATCTTTGTTTTAAATCTTGGCAGGCAGCCAGCAGCGCCTTACTTAAATGCAATATACTAGTGAGTCAACATGTTTGCTTTATCCATAGTAGATGCCAGATTCTCTTGTGTGTCAGCCATTTCAGAGGGATGCTTAGCTGTTTATTCTGTGTGCTGTTTGATAACACTCTGAAAATGAGGCTTGCAAAACTGAGGTATTAAGAAAAAAAATCTTGAAATTTGTGGTGTTTTCTGTATCTGAAATAATGTAGCTTTTTATACACATTTCCCAGTGAATCTTGAAAAACTTCCCCGAAATGAGTAGTGGAACATCATGTAAGTGGATGATTCGCCTGGGGTACTGGGCGGTTGGTTTGAGTGAGTAGAGGGCTGTCTAAATGGAATGATTAGCCAAGGAAGTCTGAGATAGCAAAATGGTGTAGGAATACTTTGATATAATTAAATTGCTATAGCTTCAGAATAAACTGGATTGAATCATAGTGTATCAATGCAAGGAGGCGAAGAGGATGCATTTGGTGCAAAGTAGTTCAGATGCTTACCTCCCAAGAGAGTTAATGACTTAATGGCTTCTGTGGGATTTTCAGGATTTTGGATGAAAAGTGCTATATAAGTGTGAGTTACAAGTCAAATAGATTACTGTTGTTCTGGTGTTGATGGTTGATTACATATATGATATTTCAAGCCTTTAAAATGTACATATGCGTGTTGTTGCAACAGCTGCTACTATGCTAGCTGGGAAATACACAATTTGAAATTGGTTGTTTGGAAAAGGTAAGTTGTACTTGAAATAAATGGATGTAATTCTTCTTGATTTTACAGGGAGATACTGGAGGTTGTTATATAAAACTGTTTATTGTTATTTTCTTAGAAAAAAAGAAAAAAATCCCAAGATTTTAGTGCATTTTACGTCCATGAAACTTCTGTTTCTCTTGAGAGATACCTATGTAGCTGTGCTATTTAGCATAGCTTCCTGTGTTGCCATCATCGTAAAGACAAATCACTATGTTTAGTAAATACTTGGTTAGCACTAGCATTCTTTGAAAGATTATACTCCTGACCATGTCTCCTCTGCTCTGATGCTAGAGTGGTATTAAGGATTCATAATAAATCCAGTATGAGTTAACTCTTTCTCACCATTTCCTTTTACTTTGCTTTAAAATTTACAATTCTTTGCTCTAAAAGTTTCTTTAATGCTTATAGCACAAAAATATCTCTAAACACCTGCCTTTCTAGTGTTGATTGTTTCACCCTTTAGTTGATTCCATTGTCCTTCTCTTTGCTATTATCTCCCAATTTAGTTGGGATTAAGTTTACATCAGGTGGATGCTTGGTAAAGAGATGCCAGCTATATTGAAGTGGGATTCTTAGTTTTGTTGGCATTTTTATGCTAAGAAGAGCTGTGCAGAAGTTCTCAAAAGAGGCCAGTACTCATATGGAGCTGTAACTGACAGCAAGCGTAGGAAGGTCAGTAGTGGTGCTTCTCGTGTAAAAAAAGGCTTTTGGAACTTGTGACCTGAGAAGTCATTAATTCATTTCAGTGCTATTTTTGTGGATGCTTTTGTAATGAATGATCAGAACTTATTACAGTAACAGAAATTCTCAAAGATTTCAGTTAAACAATGTTAACTTCTAGTTAATAAGAAAAAACATCAGAACTGCTTGGTTTGGAACTTAAATGCTAAGTGCTGGTTCAGAACATTCAAGCTGTGAGTTGTTACATTTGTGTGTCTAGTGGGAACATGGACACAGCTCTGCTATAATTACATTCCTTCTGTACACTTGGAGAGGAGCTTCACTCATGCTGATAAAATTATGATTTCAGATTAATCCAGATTCTTATCCTGTGTCTTGGACTCTTACTATAAAATAAGCAATGCGTTTTCAGCTTAAAAAAAGAAATCTGTTTTGTCAAGCGCATTTGACTTTATCAAACGCTGTTGCGGAGTGATCAGCAGTGCAATTTGTGATGGATGGAGAATGGTGTGGTAAAGAAGTCTGGTTTACAAATAGTGTTGCAGGTAGAAATTTGTCACTTGGATTTATCGGCTTTGCTTCAGATGGTTACTATGGTTATGTGATAAACCAGCAGGAAGTGGCTCCTTGCCTGGTTGCAAGCATTTGAGAGGATGCAGATGCTCTCGGTTAAAGTCTACGTTCCAGACCACCCTTTGTGCACCGTTGCTGTCGCTTAGCCCTCAGTTCATACTTTTCTGCATGTGGTTGTGAGATGCTCCTGAGCAGGTGATCTGTTCTGTGAGCTTGTGCTCCATGGATTTAGTTTTTTAATTCAAGGAATTGCCTAATCTATTCACAACTAGGTAATATTGTGCTGAATGGATTTTATTCTGAAGAGGAGGGTGTAAGTAACCTTTTCCCAGTTCTGTTTTAAAAGCCCCTGATGCTTGAGTTCTCACAGCAAGGTTTTAGTGACAGTTGGAAGTGATTGCTTTTAGCTGTTTGCTAGCCTTCATATTCTCTGGGCATGTAGACCACAGTGAGCTGTGCTTGTCATTTTGAAGAGTTTCTTCAGAAGACTTTCTTCTGCAGAAGTCAAGGTGACCTGCCTGACTGTAATACTTACGTGCTCTGACCTCAACCTGATTTGTCACCACCTAAAGACCAGCATCTTTTCCAGTCTAGATTGAAATCATGGGTCAGTATAACTGAGAAATACCTTTGCCTTTGAATTCCTTCCATTGAATGTGGAATCTTATCTATACTCATTAGCAGGCTTAATTTGGGACAAGTATGTAGAGATTATTTTATAGCCTGCTGGGGAAAAGAGGTACTGCTCTGCTGTCATGGTTTTGCAGTTAAAAAAATAAGTGTCAGTTCTTTGGGTAGTGCCTCTAATGAGGATGGTGGAAGTGAACAGTTTTGCATCTGAAACAGTGTGCTGGCTTTCAGGTGTAATTCTTCTGGGACTAGTTGTTTTTAGAAACCTTGACTACATTGCCTTGACATACTGCTGACATGGGACAAAATAAAGGCCTACTTGCAAATTTGTAGAGATGATCTGAAAACAGATCTTAGGAAGGTAAGGGAAGATACAGAAAAGGAAGACAGAGGGGAAAAACAAAAGTCACACTTCAATTTTAAATGACTGGTAGAAAAGCTAGAACTATTTCCAACTTTTTCCACTCTTGGTCTCACCACTGAGATGGAGAGGAATGTCTTCTGGTGTAAGCAGAATGCAAATTCTGTGGCTATGTAGGGAAGGGTTTTTATGGTATGAAGTATTGGACTGTAACCGTAAAAGTTTATTTCCTTGCTTCATCCAAAAAAAAAACCCAAACCAAACCCAAAACCACAACTCTCTGAAATCTCAGCCTGTCGCCTGACTACTTCAGGCTACAATTTCTTGCCTGTAAAATGAAGATATTGGTGTTTTCCTGGAATATTAGTGTAATCTAGTGTTGCTGGGTTTGACTGTGCTTGTAGCCAAAAGCAGCAAGTCTAGGCCTGCATGATTGAACAAGCAGTGCAGAATTTGGGGAAAGGTGCTAAGTGCATTTAAAGCTTGGTTTGCCAGCAAAGTTGCTTTGATCCTGGCAAAACATCAGTTATCTGAAATTAGTAAAGATGGGTACTGTACTCCTCTATCTCTCATTAGAACAGGATATTATACTGCTGCCACATTTAAAATGAGATGCAGGACCATATAATTCTGGCATATATCATTGAAGCGCTATAGATTTGAATTGCCTGGCCTTTTTCCAGCTTGGTAGATGTAGCTACTAAGACTCTTCCTGCACTTTTGATAGTCCAAAGGTAGTCCTGCTAAATAGCTTCTAAGTTTCCTTCTTTTAAATTAATCTTTGAGTTAACTTTCAGTGGTGAGAGAATTCCTGAGTACAGGTTGGGTTTCAAATGATTAATGAAGGGTTTCTTTTTTCTTTCAGGAGGAAGATGTTACATTGTGATAAACAATGACAGTGCATCCTTAGGAATGCTCTTTATGGAGCATAGGAACTAGAAAATGTTTGTCTTGAACAACTTTTAGATTTTACAAGTCATGAAGCAGGGTATTAGTTGTGTTTTGAAACATGTCTTAGAATTTTAAGACTTTGAGATTTTTCTGTCGAAATATAAAAAGGTTCATGGAGAGTCATTTATAGAATAGCTGGTGTTCTTTGTGTCTTCTGTCTTTTGAATAGCAGTTACCTATCTGAATATAAAAGGAGAACACAATGACTGTCCTTTAAATATTTGTTTGGCTTTGGGAGTAGCAACTGCCTTCTAGCAAGACGTCTGTGAATTTTCTGATTTCTGAGGTCATTGTCGTTAATCAGCCACTTCTTTCCCATCCTTGCTGTAATTTTATTCTGAGGCACTGCTTTTGTTGCGGTTATTGCCAAGACTGTTTTTAATACAACAGACCTTATTTTACAGCAACCTTGTAGAGTCCAGTTGTCAAAAGCAAACAAAAATAATTACTCGGTTTCTGTCATGTCAAATGTAATTTGAGTAAGCCCAGTCCTTCCCTGAGGTAAATCTAATTTAGTTTGCTGCATTTCATCTATGATTGGTTGCCTTGGTTTTCTTCACAATTAGAAGAGAAAATATGTTAGTGCCAGGTTCTTAGTAGCAAGCTAACCACAAAAGATCTGATTAGTTTCCTGTCTCATTTTGATCTGGTTCATAGGTTGTGACCTGGTCACTTTTATTAACTAAATTCAGAATGGTCTTATATGACTTCCTTTTGTTTTCCTAGCAAAATGTCTAGTCAAATCAAAGTTAATTTTTATGCAGTTAATTCCCTTATTTATCGTCATAAAGCATCTAGTTTCTATTTTTAGTTCACACTTGGAATAAATTACATGTTATGCAAATGAAATGGTGGCTCTTCCCAAGCTTAAGCTGTTTTTTAATTTATCCTGTTTTTATGTTCTTCCTTGGAGGTACAGAAGTTAATTTCCATTGTTTTAAAATCTTTTTTTTTTTAAAGATTGCGTATATATTGAAAGTCGCCGGCCGAATACCCCGTATTTCATCTGCAGCATTCAAGACTTCAAACTGGTAAGGAAAACTTTCACATCTCCTCCTTTTCCCTGCCCCATTCTCCAGTGAGATGGCAATATTTCTTAGTCTGTAGCTCCTTGCTCCTTCTGAGTAAACCTTTAGCTTCTGAAATAGTAGCTGTTTTGCTATTAAGACAGTGATCTAGCCTTGGTATAGACTTAGTTAACTGGGCTGGTCTACGTCATTTTAAGGTTTTGTAACCCACAGAAATATTAACTTTGAGTTGAGTGTTTTGGGGAAATTGTGGCTCAGTAAGTTAAGTTTTTCCTGGGAAGTTAAAATTGGCTCTACCTTTACCTCTAGCTTTATATAGCACAGCTGTGTAAAGGGAAGCACGTGGGCTGACTTGTGGTAGCCTGTTTTTCTCAGCTGCTTGGTGGACTGACAGTTGAGGATGCAAAGAGGGACTAGACCAATATGACAAGTTTGATTTGGAAAAATATAACACAACATTTAAGAATGTTTTAGCACTTTATTCTTTAAAAATGAAAAGTTGGGGACCTGTGCAAGAACAAATTAGTTGGAGTTGCCCCTTTTTATCTGAATTTGTACGCTTAAGAGGTTAAACATGTTCCTTCCCAGTAAGCTGTAGCTGCACAGAAAACCACTTGCTGCTTACACAGTGCAGAGCAGAAAGCTGCTGCCTGTTCGACACAAAGGGCACCTATGCTTGTTTTGGACTTTGGAGTGTTTTGGGTAGTGTAAGCAGGATATTTGGAAAAGGTAACTGTTACTGCTGATCTTCTTGCTGTTGTTGGTTTATGGAAGTTCTGACTATGTAATAAACTGTCCTTCTTATCAATGCATTGTCTCCAGAAGTAGATCGCCCACTCTCTGTTGCTACCAGAATATATCTTCTTTTTCCATGCTTTCGTACTCAAGTCTTCCATTTTACTCCTTACAAGTTTATTTTGTGAGACCACAGTGAATGAGAATGTGTAGACTTTCTTCAATATTGATGTCCATGGTAGTGGGTGGCACTTGTGAGCACATGCTCTCTTCTCTCTGCACCCCCCCTGCTTTTTTTTTTAAAAGGAGTTGTTGGATTTGTAGTTAACAGGTTCTAGCAATGGGTTAAGCCACAGTGGTACTACTCTTGCACGTTAGCAGGTGCTTTTGTCTCTGACTGAAATGACAATGTGATAGTTGCCATTCTGGGCAATTTTTTTTCTGCTGAGTTGCATTAATTGCTCAGGATATTAACAACGAAAGCTGAAGCTTCTGTTGTCAGCATTGGTCTTGTACAACACGTTAAAGCTGTTTGCAAAACTATGTGGGAAATGTATTGCAATATGGTTTAGTACCTTTAAAATTTTTTTTTGAGTCGTTTCTCTTTTCTCGTATTTCCAGCGTGCAAAGGATATGACATCAGGGTTGCTGGCAATTTTGCATTATTTTTCACATGGAAATAGTATCATTGTTTTATTTTACTTTTGCCTGCTCTGAGTTCTTTAATTTCTCTGTTAAATTTTTTTCTTATTGACATCATGCATAAAAGGAACTTGTAAAAAAACTTGACAAAACCAAAAAAACCCTTGATGCTGATTATGCTAGCAAAAGTGAATCTTCAGTGTGTTTGTCACTATTGATTTTACTACTGGGGGAAAGGAAAGATGTACAGTGGAAAGGACACTTGATTTCTCTTCTAGTGCCAGATACCAACAGGAAAACAGTCTTGTTTTTCCTTCAGCTAAATATGTCAAGTGAAGCAGGGAAGTTAAAGTCAATAGCTTTGAAATGTCGCCTACTAATTAAGTACATTATGATGTTGGTTGTCATAAACTAAAAGTTCTTGGCTGATGGGTCTTT